GGGGTTTTCTTCCCTCGCACGATAGCCCTTCCGATTACTCTCTTATTCATACATCACACGTACGCCACACTCAGAGGACAGATTATCATTGTTGCTCCAAGGAGAGTCTCAGGAAGAAGGCACCCAAAACAACCAGAATGCGCACGATCAGCATGCAAGCATGCGCACAACAACAAGAAAATGTACGATAATCATGAAACCGGCGCAGACCGCGCGTGGTTCGCACCAACGTGCCAAAAAGGGCACACAGGTGCCAAAAGGGCAGGGACAACATACTTCCACATGAAAAAAATGCATCCTCTCCTGAGGATGGGAGAGAAGAAAAACAAAACGAGAAGACAGACAGGAGAAGAAGACAGGAAGAAGAAAGAAATGAAATATGTACAACATAGATAGGCGAATATATAAACAAAAAAACACAGACGAGACCGTTGGGCAAGTGACGAGTAGGCCAGGAGGGTTGACACCAGCCGGGAGCCCCGCGAAACTGTGCGACAATGGAGGAACCTGCAAGCAACAGTTTCAAAGAGGACCCCGGCTGGCGAGCTGCTCCACCTGTTTATGCCCTATCCTTGTAGGGATCCTTTACAGAACAGCACCAACCTAGGACACCACTCACCCAAAGGAAACGACAACAAAAAATACATAATGAGGAAAAAATTAAGCAAATTCGTTGACACAATGGACCTCAACGAGGGAGACCAGTTCCGACCCCACATTGGGAGGGGAAGGGGCACTGTCCGGCACACCACCAGCCGGCGACGGAGCAGCGAGGGCGGCGCGACGCTGCGCCGCTCGGCGGGCCCGGCGCCTCTTGCGAGAGCGGCGGGACCGTCGGCGACGAGGCACCACTGGCGCTGGCGCTGCAGCCACCACCGGCGAGGAAGCGGACAGAAGGGAAGCCGGACGCGGCGCTGGCGCTGCAGCCACCACCGGCGAGGAAGCGGACAGAAGGGAAACCGGACGTATGTGTTCGGGAAGCGACTCGAAAAACGACTTCCACTCCTCGATGAGGTCCAACACCATGGCCGGGTCGGTGAGGACAACACTGAGCAAGAAAGAAGAAGAAAAAAGAAAAAGAGAAAAAAACAACCAACTGGGAGTATCCATGGTATACAATAGCTACATCACCAACCCCTCCACGAGAGGTCTAACTGACCCTCGTCAAGGGCCGCATAGCCCCCCGGGGGCAGGGCACACCTCCGCCGAGGACGTGGTGTCCCGGGCGGATGGGTGGGAGAAACCAGAGGACTCTGCGTCGGGGTCAACAACGGACTACCCGGCAATGAAGAATCAGGAGGATTCGGGGCCGGGGTATCCGGGGGACTACCCACCAAGGGAGGGGAACCCCGGTCACCATCAGGGGGCACAACCACCGGAGATGGGGGAGGTGTGGGGAGGTAACCCAGGGGCTGAACCAACCCTGGGACTGACCTCGCAAATGGCGCCGGCAGAAACAGAGCGGGGCCCACCCATGGAGGAAACCGCCGGTCTTTCAGGCGTGGCGGGCCCGGTAGCTGGAACCCCTGGGGGAACAACCACCGTACCCTGCACCACCCGCAACCTATCCACATGCACAGTCAGGTGCTTAGCATGTCGGGGTGAAGGAGGAGGACCCACCCGGACAATCGCACACACAACTCCCTTCACCACTTCCACCTGCCAGGGGCCAGTCCACGGGCGGAACAGCTTAGGGCTGGACCCAGGGGCCAGTCCACGGGCGGAACAGCTTAGGGCTGGACCCAGGGGCGGAACAGCATGGAGCCAAACATAGTCCCCAGGTTGTACCGTGGGCAGTTTAGTTCGGCGATTGTACGCTGCCTTAGCCACTCTGTGGGCTACACCGAGGCGGTCACGTACAACGCCACCCAAAGACGACCGAAGATTGGACACGTACACAGGCACAGGGGCTTCCATGGGGGTATTAGGTGTAGGTAAGAACAAGTCCAAGGGTAGACGGGCCTCCCTCCCAAACAGGACACAATGGGGAGTAAACCCGGTAGAGCGGTGGACCCCTGTATTGTAGGCAAATTGTACGAGGGAAAGATGTTTGTCCCACGAGGCCTGATCACCCTCAACGTACGCACGAAGAGCCACCTGAATAGTGTGATTGGCCCGCTCCACCAAGCCATCGGACTGAGGCCGACACGGGGTCGTGCGGGATATACACACCCCCAACAACTGACACAGGCATGACATAAGACGGCTTTCAAAATTTGGGCCCTGATCCGAGTGCAACTGGCTAGGGACACCAAACTTCATAAATACCCGTTCGACCAAAAGGTCCGCCACTGTCTCAGCTCTCATGTCCTGCAGGGGAAGAATTTCAACCCATTTAGAAAAATAGTCCCCAACCACTAGGATATATTTATTACCACGAGCAGTGAGAGGTAGGGGTCCCATGATATCCATGGCAATGACCTCAAACGGGGCACCCACACGCACAGTGCCGAGCGGGGCTTTTGCAGCCCTAGGCGGATCTTTGCCACGCTCGCACACTGTACAACATCTACAAAACACCGAGACATCGACCGACATTCCCGGCCAGTATGCGACTTTACGAAGCCGAGCCAATGTGCGGTCTGAACCAAAATGGCCAGATGTTTGACCAGCATGCGCCTCGGCCAAAAATTGGTGGCGCAAAACCACCGGAACCACTAACTGGCGAGCAAGCGATGGCAATGTGTCACGGTACAAAACACCGTCTACCATGGTCAGGGTCTCGGACTGAGTCAGCAGAGCACGAACTACAGGACTATCGCCATCCTGAACGGGCTGAGCGGCAGCCAACCGGTCTATCACGACCCGTAGCTCGGCATCATCTTGTTGAGCCTGGCGAATGTCACCAGCGGTAGGCGTACAAAACGACACTGCATTAACGGATAGATCAGTGGCAAACTGGCGACTTAATCCATCTGCATTCCCATGCTGCGCTCCTGGCCGGTGCTCCACGGTAAAGTGAAACTCCCCTAACGTGCTGAGCCAACGGGCAATCTGACCCTCTGGATTTTTAAAGTGCATCAGCCAACGCAGACTGCCGTGGTCTGTCCGAAGCAAAAACGGGCGCAACAGAATGTACGGTCTGAATGTACGACATGCCCAAACCACCGCTAGCAATTCCAATTTAGTTATGGCATAATTTCTCTCAGCGGCCGAGCAGGACCGACTGATGTATGCTACGGGTCGCTCTAGACCGTCGCCGGAGACTTGCGACAGCACCGCACCTAAGCCGGAAACACTGGCATCAGTGTCGACAACAAAAGGTAGAGAAAAATCTGGAAATGCCAAAATCGGTGCCTCACAAAACGCTACACACAACTTCCGAAACGCAGTCTGATGTTCAGCTGACCACACAAACGAAACGTCCCTACGGAGCAGATCATGCAGCGGATGTGCGATCGCGGCAAAGCGAGGAATAAATCGGCGATAGTACGATGCGAATCCGAGAAAGGCCTGAAGGGACTTTTGATTGGTTGGCGCCTTCCACTCACGCACTGCCTGAACCTTTTCCGGATCCGTCGAGATCCCTTCTGCCGAAACCACATGGCCAAGGAAATGAACCTCTCCTAATAAAAGATGGCATTTCCTTGGTTTAATCTTCAGCTTGGCGTGTCGCAACGCGGTCAACACCGCCTCCAACCTGAGCAAGTGGTCTCGAAACGTGTGCGAGAAAACAATGACGTCCAAATAAACTAAACAATACAGGGAAGAAAGACCCCGCAGGACAGCATGCATCATGCGTTGAAATGTGGCCGGAGCATTACACAGACCAAAAGGCATCCGTTTGAACTCATAGAGACCCTGTGGCGTGATGAAGGCAGTTTTCTCCTGGTCTTTCCCCGCCACCGGAACTTGCCAATAGCCGGACTGTAAGTCCAGTGTCGAGAAAAACTGAGCCCCACCCAGCCTATCGAGTGTATTATCAATCCGAGGTAATGGGTGGGAGTCCTTGTGGGTGACGTCATTAAGTTTACGGTAGTCTACACAAAACCGGACCGAGCCGTCGGGCTTTTTTACCAATACAATGGGGCTAGCCCAAGGGGACACACTAGGGGAGATGATACCCTTTTCCAACATCTTCTCCACCTCCTCGGCAACAATCTTAACCCTGGGCGGGGGAAGGCGTCGGGGGCCCTGGCGGATAGGGTGTGTGGTCCCTGTATCAATAACATGTTCGAGAATAGGGGTTTCCTGGATCAAGCAGAATCCTGTCATATCAGGACAGTTTCCGCTGCACCAAGGCTGTCCGGTTAGGGCAGGTTTTACTGTACATTTTAATAATGTCATGGTCCTTGGTATTGCTGCTGGTCTCGTTCTATTCATTGCCATCATTCGCTTCTTGTCCCCGAGCGAAGTATTTCTCAGCCCGTTGTTTTGTTTTCCACTGCTGTTCCTACTGTTGCCCTATATATGTGTGTGTGTGTGTGTGTGTGTGTGTGTTTGTGTGTGTGTGTGTGTGTGTGTGTGTGTGTGTGTGTGTGTGTGTGTGTGTGTGTGTGTGTGCGTGTGTGTGTGTGTGTGTGTGTCAGAGTTCAAACAGGAGTGTGCACAGCAATCTGGGGATGGCAATGCGCTATCGTGCGATCTCAGTCAAATCCACTTCTTACCGTACAGCCTGCCCGTTGGACTGCCATACGTCGCAAACTCGCGTGTGCTCCATGCCGCCATTAATCAATTGTAAGCTGTTGTGTTGCACATGCTGTAGCACATACACACACGTATCTTGATGTCGCGGCTGTATCTAATCCCTGCCATGAAATCCTGTCGGCCACACCAAACATGGCAGCTCTTGCCATGAACCCGATCATATTTTCCCCATGCTCGAGCCTGTTTTCTGACCTTGCCTATTGAAGTCCATGTTTGGAATGACATTAGAGGCATGCGTGATCTTTGCGTGTACAAGTTTGCCACTCACACCCCATGCGAGTCTCTTCCATATCACAAAGATAAGACCTGGCGTTGTGTGGTCCGGAGTTTGTGGTCTGTGCTCGTCGTGTTGGGCTATGAGATGTGGTAAGATTACATACATGTATACCAGGGTAACTGCAGTTGCCACAGCCCTATGCTCAGAGAAAGACCTGGAAAGCGCCATCCTAAGCAAACGTGACCGTATCCTCTCGCCATCTTCCCAAAAACCCAGCTGATTACTCGCGGAGCAATAGCGTAATTATATGGATACGACACGGGACCATAGTACAGTATTGGAAATAAAGTAAAACTTGTAACTCATGACCACCGTGACTAGCGACCAGCCTGGTACTGTTGTCACAATGTTGTAACTGCATTTTCTCCACCTGCTCCAGTCCCGTGCCATCTCCACACTTGTACAAAGGGACGACGATAACTACATTTGAAAGACTGTTTATTACAAGACGACTACGGAAACACAGCTAGACATGACGGACTCAAGACGAAGACTGCTTTTCACACCACAGCAACACGCGCGTGCACCAACATGACGTACACACGACGTACACAAAATAACGTACTACAACAGCACTAGAGACCACTTCGCCAGGCACGGACGGTCTCACATTCGTTATTATATGGTTGTGGGTTGCAAACCTCTAACTAAGGACCACCTGCCACTAAAGACCGCTTTCTCTGGCCCCAAGGGGTGGTCGTTAGTCACAGGGTTTACTGTATTGTGTTTGTGGCAACACAAGCTACTTGTACGGGCCTTTGTAGAGATGCCAGCTCACTGGATTTATCTCTCCGCTGGACTGAATGCAGTTGCTTGCAGTTCAACCTAGCATCTGCTTACTGTATTCTCTGGCGTACATGTAAAGTTGTGGCCAAAGAAATCCAACCCTCGTGCCGAAAGCAGCGCCAGGGCTCATGCAGCCCCTGCAGCGCTGGGATGGATTTTTGTACTGTGCAGGACGTAATGAAAATGCAAACCCGGCACTATTTGGACTCGCGGGTCTGATTTCTTTGCCCACAACCGTGTACTTCAGTAGCGCTAGTTGAGGTGTATACTCGGGTTGCTGTGTGATGTCATGAATCTTCTCACACAGGACTTTCAAGAAGTACAGAGCGGGACTTTTGAACGTCGCTACTTTTTCTACTTACGGCAATCTGACGACCCTGTAAGTCTGTGTGTGCGTGCATGTGTGTGTTCAGATGCATTTTGGGTGGGTGGGTGAGTGGGTGGGTGTTGCACACTTATATTAATTTCTGTGTAGGAACGATTTCACCTCCATATCCACTATTCATCGACATTGAATCTGGTGTTTGACTCCTTAGAACAGAAATGAAGGACTTTTTATTACCTGGAAAACCTTACACACACACCATCTTCAATCCAAGTGGTCTCTTCGCTGCAAATTACAATAATTATCTCAATCAAATTTTCGGCCAGGAGCCATCATCATTATGATTGTGTGTCAATCAGTAGATGTATTTTCAAAACTGCTTGCATATACCTTTTTAAAAGGTTCATTATGCAATGATTGTGTGTTTATGTGTTTGTGTGTGTGCACGTGTGTGTGTGTGTGTGCACGTGTGTGTGTGTGTGTGTGTGTGTGTGTGTGTGTGTGTGTGTAACATGGTTGTTCGCTATCATCGCTTCGGCGATGGGCATGTCTGAGTCTGAGTCTGAGTGTGTGTGTGTGTGTGTATGTGTGTGTATGTGTGTGTATGTGCACGTGTGTGTGTGTGTGTGTGTGTGTGTGTGTGTGTGAGAGAGCACGTCTGTGTGTGTGTGTGCGTGCGTGCGTGCGTGCGTGCGTGCGTGCGTGTGTGTGTGTGCGTGCGTGCGTGTATGTTTGTTTGTATTTGTGTTTGTTTACTGCACTGCCATCGTGTCTGTAGCACAATTCAGGACTGTCTGGTCGGTGCAAGCGGTCTTTCATTTCCCAGCAAGGCACTCCGCTACAACACTGAACTGCGTTCTTTGTAAGTTGTATTATTATTACATTCGGGGATTCCCCAAAGACAAAGTCAATATTGAAGGGAGTTCCTTTTTAACCCATTCAGCGCTACTGGGCCTTGCCTATGGTACTCTGCATATAAATGCTAAAAACAGGGCCTATAGCAAGTTCTGAAACTCCAGGGTTCTGGCAACTGGGGTCCTCAAATTTTTTTAGTGTTGAAACGAGCTTATCTATAACAAACGAGCGATCAGCTCCACTAACGAGCAAGCTATCGAGCGAGCTAACGAGTTTCTCATTGATGTGGCAAATATGATTATTTTTTGAATAATTTTTTTCGAAGTATTAGGGCATGTTCGATTGGTAAGGATCGGGATCGGGATCCAGATCTCAGATCCCTCGGATCCTTCAGATTCAACTGAACACTTTATATTGGACCTTGATTGATGCCATGTTGAAAATGGCGCTCACAAGGCACCCAAAAGGGTGAACGTCGTACTCATCGCGTGCGTCGTACAAAAAGTCAACAAGCTCTATCTCCATCCACGTGTGCGTACCACAATGTGTACAAAAATGATTTTTACCCGCCATATACGCACAAAGGTCACATTTGGATCCGTTGGATCCGGTCAACCCTGCTCCCCGAGGTGGGTTGACCGGATCCAAATCCGAAGGATCCGGATCCGGATTCGACCAATCGAAAGGGTGCGAATCCAGTGGATCCGGTGGATCGGGATCACGATCCTACCAATCGAACATACCCTAAGTTCAATTTTTTTCAGCTGGTTCAATTATCACCGCCGGCATTTGGGGTTGCTGCTGCTTCACTTCGGACTGCTGTTTGGTGTCGAGATGTCCTTTCAGCGCCGTTGTCGATTAGCCTTTGTAAGAATAGACCGTTTTGCAAAGATTGCAAGTAGCCCTGGTCTTCGCTGCATCGCGGGAGAAAACTTCCAAACGACTGAGCGTAACTTTCACTCGAATGGAGAGGTGACCGAAGCATATCCTGCGACAGGTCAGCAGATGCGGAACAAGACATCAGTAGAGTCCCCCAAAGCTGCAACGACAACTGAAACAACTCAAGTGTCGTGCAGGCATACAGTCACCTGTAACTGCGAGTGATTTTCACTTTGCGCGGGACTGGACTCTCGATCGACCAGGGAGTCGTAAAATAGTTTACGACTCCCCGGTCGACATGTACTGCCATGTGTACGGAGTATGGTGTACGGTGTTCGTTAGTGCAAACGAACTGGCCGCACAAACGAGCCGAGTTTCTGGCGAGCGAGCTAACGAGTATCCGGTGAGATCGTTTCAACACTAATTTTTTTGGAAATGATTGCCAAGACTATCAACCACAGGGTGACAGAATCGATGCAGTCCCCAAAAAGAATAGCGCATCACAACAAGGGACGCAAGTTTGCTCAAATTGTGTGAAATACGCTAAATGCGTGCAGTTGCAGCTGAAAGATCGCTCAAAAGAGAAGAAAGAAAGATGCATAGTGCTACCAAGCGGTAATCGTTATCATACAAGAGGCAGGATCATGATCCAACTGACTAACAGTGCTTTTATACACAAGGAATTGCCGGAAATCACTATAATTATATCCCATGACGTCTATAGACGTCAGCCCGCGCATGGGAGGCATTTTCAATGACGTCTATAGACGTCATCAGCGTTTAATGGGTTCATGGGAGGCTGTAGGGTGGAGATAGCAAAAGTGCAGAGTACACGCATGCCATAAGCCTTTTGCGCGTTGTACAGATGTACGAAGTTCAGTACTAGGGCGTAGGTGTGTACAGAACCGATTGGGTGTTCATTGTGTGCTATGCATGCGCATTTGACCAATTTTAGCCTCGTAATTATTGGCAAACAATCTCTTTTCCAGCTTCTTCACTTTGGTTAGAACTAATGACTAGCTAGATCTTTGTCAGAAAAGGTTTTCGTTTGAAATGCCTTCAGGGCCCATTTCTTAGTGGAAATAGCAGAAAACACAATAGGGTCCTGCACATTCAACACCCATTAGGTTCTACGGGATTCTACGGGATTTCGTGTATCTGTACAACGCGCAAAAGGCTTATTGAGTAGCGTATGCAAAGTGGAAAATGCTGTGCGCAATGCACTGTGTGTGTGTGTGTGTGTGTGTGTGTGCGTGCGTGCGAGCGTGCGTGCGTGCGTGCGTGCGTGCGTGTGTGCTGCAGTCCCGCACATACATGTGGCTCAGCCATGCAAATATGGTGCAATCAATAATGAACACAGGGGAATTTCTACAGGAGACACTAAGGAGATAAAATAGGAGAGTTCCGGTGGAGCAGCAGGGGGGGGGGGGGGGGGCAGACGCTGGGGGAGACCACCGGGGTAGGGGAACACACAGGCCACGTGACCCCACCCCGGACAATAAATGCAATTACAAAAGTAAAAGCCAACGTTAGTTTGCACACTAAAACCAGAGCTGAACCGCAAACACTTGCTATCAGGAGCAACAGGGTCGAAAACCCTAACCATAAAGTGCTTTGCACGTCACCGCCGAACCTGGCGGAATGCACTGGCACTATATCCCCCGTCCCCTAGATAGTGGGACGGTGTGCCCTGCTAACGTTAACCGCGGTGACCCATCTAGATGCAGCGAAAAACCATGGGCTGCCAAGATGTCGGCCCCCAACAAACACTCCTCCGTTAACCCAGCGACTGCCAAAACCCGTGCTGTAGACGAAATGTGTCCAAACTGAAATGTCAGGGGTAAGCAGCCCTTCATATCTAAGGTTCCCCCGCCCACCGTGTATAGTGCTGACACTCCCAACTCCGATGCAGGTCGCAATAAGTGCTCTGCGTGCAATTTCTGCACCACCGCAAAATTTACCAATGTGATGGCCGCCCCCGTGTCAACTAGACAGGATACTACAGAGTTACACACATCAGTACTTAACTTACCGGGCGCTAAGAGACTGGTGCCAGCGCGGTGGATGTAGAAAGACACAGCATCTGTGACGGCCGTGACAGCACCCACCGGGAGGGCATCCGCGGACTCGACCGGAATAGACGGAGGGGAGGGCAGTGGAGCGGCAGGTGGAGGTGCAGAGATGGGCTTCCGCCGGTGTATGCTCGAAGGCACATACATCACACACACATGACACGCATCAGACACACAGGCAGCATTAGCAGGACATTCTACATCTCGGTTGCCGGGGACAACAGGTCCGGACACTCGGGCGCAGCCGAAGCTGCTAAATCATTGGTTTCCCCCAAAGGCAAAGCGAGGAATGGGTCACACACATCCATGGTATCATTTACATAAATCCGCAAAGCACACATGTTCACGTCATGTTCAAGGAAATTCAAACGAAGAGAAAAGAGAGTAGAGAAGTTTAGAGAAGCACAAGAACGAAGAAATGGAGAAGAGAAACGTTCTTGAGATGAAGAGTAGAGAGAAGAGAGAGACAGACTGGAAAGCAGTTCTACAGAAGACGTGAGAGAGAAGAAAGGTGAGAGAATAGACAGAACGAAAATAGCAAAGACAAAGTACACAACAAATTCGAAACAATGTCGATCTTGTTCACAAGTTCAACCATCAGGCAGGAACACGTAGTTTGAAATGGTTGTTGGCGGCCTTGCGGCTGCGGTCGCCGCTGCCGGCACTCGGCCCTAATGTTGCCCAACTTCCCGCATTCGTAACAACGGGGACCCTTACCCCTCTGGTAGGACCCCAGATCACCCCTTGTTTCACACTAAGTCTCCAGGAGACGGGTTGAGTTGCGCACAATTTTTCGAGACTGTGGAGCCGCGACTCTACGTTAGGTGCCGCGGCCGCCACGAAGACCGGCTCGCTAGTGGGGTGCAGCCTATCTTGCGTCTCCAGAACTACCGCTTTCTGGACAGCTTTTAATAGGGTTGTCGGCTCGTGGTCCCCCACCCGTCGTCGCATGTCCGGGTCCAATGCGTCTAGAAAAGCCCTGACCGAAACTGTGTCAGCAATGGTGGAGGGGGCCCCCGGATAGGCCTTTGCGACTAAGACCTGGATGGCGTCCCCGAGTTCCGTCAATGTTTCCCCCACCCGCCGTTTACGAGCCTGGAGCTCGGTCTGGTGCAAAAGTTCCTTCCCCTTGTCCCCAAACCGATCCTGCAAAGCCTGCTCTATGTTTGCGCTATCTTGGCGTTTGACTGCGGTCAGGGACTGCAGCATTAAGGCGGCACTGCCGGTTAGGCTCTTACAAAGGATTACCCGGGCCATTAGCTCAAGTTTAGCCCTGGACTCAGCATCTACTATATCGTGTGGTTGTGCAACTGTTACATAGCCATTAGCCTCTAGGCATAGCAAAAAGTCATTCAGGAACGACTGCAGTTCCTCCCTAGACGAGCCCGCAAACGGTTTGGGCATCAGCCACTTGCCCGCGCCCTCAACGGTGACCTTGCTCTGGGTTGGCTGAGACATAATGAAGTTGTAGGTATAGCACAAATACGAGATCTCGTTCGGATGGCGTTACGAAACAGGTTTTTTTTCAGTCTCAAAACAATTTTTTTCTTTTTCAAAATTTCAAAATTGCTCAACACGGCATTCTCACCCAGGGCAAGTAGTTACAACAAAACAAGGAGATCTACGCCTAGGATGTCAAGATTCAAGAAATACAGATTGCACGTACTGGCCGGGGCTACTGGAAACTAGGCCTACAAAACGACGGTACATGCACTCTACGGACTATCGAAGGGACCACGGACCTAAGCCGGGACTCAATACAATGCACGCTTGGACAAGAAACGACACACAAAGCAAACTAGCAAGACCGGGTGCTCACCTGAGGAGGCGCGCCAATGCGGGGCCTGGACGTTTGTAGTACGTCATTTGTAGGGATGATACGGAGGTACGGCGAGGAAAAGAGCAATATGAGCTGACGGCGATGAGCTTCAGGGTCGTGGGTAAGATTTGTTGGGCGCCAAATGTCGTCGTTTTCCGTGGTCTTGTTTATTCGTCAATATAAAGAGTGTAAAAAGGCAGTCCAGTGGTGGCAGTTGAGCTGATGCAGTGATGGAGAAGTAATGTTGCAATTACAGCAGAGCTTTTCTTGTATTTCACTTCAGGACGTGACTGGAGAACTGAACTCCCACCAGACAGGACAAGAGAATATATTGTGGGACGTGAAAAAAGTGGGGGAAAAGTGGGGTGAGGGCGACGAAAGAGGTGCATGTGAATAGTACAACAAGTCCCGAACGGGACGGGAGACAAAGACGGCAGACGAGGAAATACGACGGACACAAGACGGCAACCGGACAAATACAACGGAGACAAGACGAGAAAATGCGTATACAACGGGGACGAGATGAGAAAGAATGCATACGGATGTTACGTATGTTATGGTGTATGTGTGTGTTTGACGGTGTTCATGCCTCTTTGGCACACTCTCTGTTGACTGAAATGTGTGTATGTGTATGTATGTGTGTATGTTGGTGTGTCCGTGTGTGTCCGTGTGTGCTTGCGTGCATGTGTGAATGCATGTGCATGTGTGTCCGTATGTATGTGTGCCTGTGTGAGTGCCTGCGCGTGCATGTGCATGCATGCACGCGCATGTGCACACTCACGACTGCACGTCCATGCACTTGTGCTCGTCTGCCTGTCTGCTATGGTCTGTGTGTGTGTGTGTGTGTGTGTGTGGGGGGGGGGGGGGGGGGTGTGCGTGTGCGTGTGCGTGTGCGTGCGCGTGCGTGCGCGTGCGTGTGTGTGTTGTGCACTGTCGCAGTCACCTCTCAAACTGTGTAGTGACAACATTGCCGGTGGATCTGTTCCACTTTTCACCAAACTTATCCTCCTTGTAAGTAGCTATGTATTGGTCAGTGTGACTGACTAGTGTCTGCATTTGCCAACTCAACTTTGTGTCTAATGTTTCCACTGACAAGGCAGGTTTGTCAGCGTTGACATACCATGCCTTGTGCACCAGAGCCGCACGGTCTATCACGCTTCCCTGTGAGATGTGCAGCCTGTCATCATACCTAGTACCACAGTCACACCAGCCAGGGGGTGGTCACATGACACCGTACCATGCCTGTATATTCTACAGTGCTGCTCAATGAAATCCAGTCACGTCACTCGAGTTGCGCCTTGCATCATTTCGCGGCCCAGTGTTCGCAGGTCTAGGGGCTGCGCAACAGCCGGCGCATACTTGAGTGGCATGGCTGGATTTCATAGAGCAACACTGTAGATCTGCCGGTATGACGATGAAGACGAATGCATGGACAGGAGCGGTGGAAGCAGTCTTGATTGGTCCGGCCGTATCATAGCCTTTCATTAACTACAACACACAGCAGCTTGCGGTTAGGAGGGTGCTGGCCCGCGAAGTGAGAGGCTACAGAGAGAGCAGGATCTTGGCGGGGCCAAGAGGATAGTCACCTCCAAGGGACGAAGACCGAGAGCCCTGAGTAGCCGGAAATGAGCATGGCCAACACCCCTTTATTTACTTTATCAAAGTAAATGAGAGATGAGAAAAGGGAGGTGGGTGGGTGAAACACAATGATCTGACAAGAGTGATCCGCTCACAGAACGAATCGAAATATAATACACACTACGAGCAAGGAAGAATGATTGTCGCAGAGAACGGATCGAAAATATATAGCAGAGCAAACTCTAGCAAGACATGCAACGATGCATGCTACCCACGTTAAGCTACGAGCAAGCGTCATCATAACGCAGCCACACGCCTTCCACATCGGAGGCGAGCGACACTCATGAACGCCAAACTTTAGTATGACACGTTGAGTGCCTACGACGCATGCCGCCTACGTTGAGCGTCGCGCATGAATGAATGTCGCGTTGAGTGTCACGTTGTATGACACATAGAATGCCACGATGCATAGAGTACCATGTGAGCACGTACAGCGCACGTTCATAGCAGCATAGTTTGAGTGGTAGCACGAAGCAGCCGCGTGCACCCATTAATCTGCATTATTACTATAATGCTACATTAACTACAACACACAGCAGCTTGCGGTTAGGAGGGTGCTGGCCAGCGAAGTGAGAGGCTACAGAGAGAGCAGGATCTTGGCGGGGCCAAAAGGATAGTCACGTCCAAGGGACGAAGACCGAGAGCCCTGAGTAGCCGGAAATGAGCATGGCCCATTGTGGCCAGCAAGCCTCGTACCGAAGCAACCGTGAGCGGGATTAAAGACATAGACACTGCCGGAGCAGGATCTTGGCGGAGCCAAGAGAGAGGTCAGAGAGAGGTCACTGCCATTAATCTGCATTATTACTATAATGCTACATTAACTACAACACACAGCAGCTTGCGGTTAGGAGGGTGCTGGCCAGCGAAGTGAGAGGCTACAGAGAGAGCAGGATCTTGGCGGAGCCAAGAGGATAGTCACGTCCAGGGGACGAAGACCGAGAGCCCTGAGTAGCCGGAAATGGGCATGGCCCATTGTGGCCAGCAAGCCTCGTACCGAAGCAACCGTGAGCGGGATTAAAGACATAGACACTGCCGGAGCAGGATCTTGGCGGAGCCAAGAGAGAGGTCAGAGAGAGGTCACTGCCGGAGCAGGAGGGATCACTGCCAGAGCAGGATCTTGGCGGGTAACCACCAGCCACGGGTAGTTGAGATGGTGGTGGAGCTGAACGTGTCCGAGAACGTCTTGGAATTGCCTGGGAACGTCTTGGAATTGCCGGTGGCAATCGTGCACGTTGCCCCGCTGTAGCCACTGTCACATTAGCAGCCTTGCTAGCGTTCGGCCTTCGACTGCTTGAGTGTGGCAATGATTCATGTCTCGTTGATATGGAGACGAGGCAAGGAAATAGAAAGGCAGATAGACACAGAAACAGACAGAAAAGCAGACAAACAGACACAAAACAGACAGACAGACAAACACACAAACAGACAGAGAATTCAGGGTCAGCCGGGTAGACACTGCCGAAGCAGAATGTTGGCGGAGCCAAGTATCTACAAGAGTCTGCGTCCGAGGGACGGCGACCGAGGGCCCTGAGTAAAGAGAGGGGTCACTGCCGGAGCAGGATCTTGGCAGGGCCAAGAGAGAGGTCAGACGAAAGTAATACGTAGACACTGCCGGAGCAGAATGTTGGCGGAGCCAAGTATCTACGAGAGAGGATTCAGGGTCGGCCGGGTAGACACTGCCGAAGCAGAATGTTGGCAGAGCCAAGTATCTACAAGAGTCTGCGTCCGAGGGACGGCGACCGAGGGCCCTGAGTAAAGAGAGGGGTCACTGCCGGAGCAGGATCTTGGCAGGGCCAAGAGAGGGGTCAGACAAGAGATATACGTAGACACTGCCGGAGCAGAATGTTGGCGGAGCCAAGTATCTACGAGAGAGGATTCAGGGTCGGCCGGGTAGACACTGCCGAAGCAGAATGTTGGCGGAGCCAAGTATCTACAAGAGTCTGCGTCCGAGGGACGGTGACCGAGGGCCCTGAGTAAAGAGAGGGATCACTGCCGGAGCAGGATCTTGGCAGGGCCAAGAGAGAGGTCAGACAAGAGTAATACGTAGACACTGCCGGAGCAGAATGTTGGCGGAGCCAAGTATCTACGAGAGAGGATTCAGGGTCGGCCGGGTAGACACTGCCGAAGCAGAATGTTGGCGGAGCCAAGTATCTACAAGAGTCTGCGTCCGATTGACGGCGACCGAGGGCCCTGAGTAAAGAGAGGGATCACTGCCGGAGCAGGATCTTTGCAGGGCCAAGAGAGAGGTCAGACAAGAGTAATACGTAGACACTGCCGGAGCAGAATGTTGGCGGAGCCAAGTATCTACGAGAGAGGATTCAGGGTCGGCCGGGTAGACACTGCCGAAGCAGAATGTTGGCGGAGCCAAGTATCTACAAGAGTCTGCGTCCGAGGGACGGCGACCGAGGGCCCTGAGTAAAGAGAGGGGTCACTGCCGGAGCAGAATCTTGGCAGGGCCAAGAGAGAGGTCAGACAAGAGATATACGTAGACACTGCCGGAGCAGAATGTTGGCGGAGCCAAGTATCTACGAGAGAGGATTCAGGGTCGGCCGGGTAGACACTGCCGAAGCAGAATGTTGGCGGAGCCAAGTTTCTACAAGAGCCTGCGTCCGAGGGACGGCGACCGAGGGCCCTGAGTAAAGAGAGGGATCACTGCCGGAGCAAACACAATGATCTGACAAGAGTGATCCGCTCACAGAACGAATCGAAATATAATACACACTACGAGCAAGGAAGAATGATTGTCGCAGAGAACGGATCGAAAATATATAGCAGAGCAAACTCTAGCAAGACATGCAACGATGCATGCTACCCACGTTAAGCTACGAGCAAGCGTCATCATAACGCAGCCACACGCCTTCCACATCGGAGGCGAGCGACACTCATGAACGCCAAACTTTAGTATGACACGTTGAGTGCCTACGACGCATGCCGCCTACGTTGAGCGTCGCGCATGAATGAATGTCGCGTTGAGTGTCACGTTGTATGACACATAGAATGCCACGATGCATAGAGTACGAGGTGATTCGTCATTATTTAACACGAAAGTAAAAAAGCCTTCCGTAGGGTTCGAGGTGTGAATCTTTCCATTTCATCCTCTAAAAATGTAATACTGATGTCCTTGGATTGCAATGTTGGGATTCTCATTCACATAATCCTTGGTGTTGGGAAGCAGGTGGCAGTTGAAAAATGGCAATTTTTCCGCATATTATTTGTTGTGGTCATTTCTTAACATCGTGGTAAAATAGGCCTTAGCAGCACAATTTCAAGTCAGTTTTCAATAGAAGGAGACCCTACGTCTTCAGGATGGTCCAGCAAGACTGGATCAAGATCATGTTCATCCAAATACAAGCCATTCAAGCTTACATAGCAATAGGTGTATCACCCTGATTTCATGTGTAATTGTGATCAACATCTGTTAGCAAATTCAGTGATTGCCAATGTTTGGCCATTAGTAGGGCCAACACACCGACATTCCTCCTTCCCAGGCGTCGTTTCCAGTATGTAGCTATCATATGCTTCCTATTCAGCTAAATATGTTGTCACTCGAGGTTGAAACCAGCGGCTATGACTCTCTTATACTCTATTTTACCGTAAACATCGCGCACATGCAGACTGAAAGCTCTTGCAATGTCACTTCCTGAAGGAATATCAGTCTCAATTTTGGAGGCGAACTTGACAGAACATTGGCAATGGCAATGGCAAAAAGAAATTTGACGTGACTTTTTGCAGGTGCTTGCAATGAGATATTTTACCGATTTGTTAAGAAATGACTCAATGTTAAAAAATTACGAATCACCTCGTACCATGTGAGCACGTACAGCGCACGTTCATAGCAGCATCGTTTGAGTGGTAGCACGAAGCAGCCGCGTGCACCCATTAATCTGCATTATTACTATAATGCTACATACTTTTCCATAGCCCTTCCATGGCCCTTCCATAGCCCTTCCATAGCCCTTCCATAGCCCTTCCAAAGCCCTTCCATAGCCCTTCCATAGCCCTTCCATAGCCCTTCCATAACCCTTCCATAGCCCTTCCATAGCCCTTCCATAGCCCTTCCATAACCCTTCCATAGCCCTTCCATAGCCCTTCCATAGCCCTTCCATAGCCCTTCATACTTTGTGTATGATCTGTCGGGAACATGTAACCCCATCACATCACCCAGATCTGTAACTAGAGAGCGTCGGAACCGGTCTCGCGAGTGTGGCCAAAAGCCGCTGTGATTTTGAAGCAACAAAATATGCACTACTTGGGCCCAGTTTTCCGTTTTCCTAAACTTTTCCCGGGAGACGCCCCTTCCTCCCCCCCCCCCCCCTACCCGGCTTTTTAGAGTGGCACCAATGTAGGATGCCATTTGTTTTTCCTGCTAACTCTGATGCTAAACTGTGTGTTTGTTCCAGTACTCTGAACAAGACGTCCACCGTGGAGCTGCCTGACAAGCTCTTCGCCCACACCAGCCTTCTTTCTCATTTGTAAGTTACTGCGGGTATCAGCATACTGGACTGCATGCGTCACTGTCACCCAGTGTGCTGACCTAAAGAGTACTCAATACCAAGGGGGAGGGAGGGTGGGGGGGGGGGGAGGGCAGGGGAAGGGCGTACTGCCAGAGAACACTGTAGCAACCAAAGGGTAGTGCAATTGACACGCTTGAGAAATGTTGGTTGACTGCGTCACTGTGTATGCGCGTGTGTGTGTGTGTGTGTGTGTGTGTGTGTGTGTGTGTGTGCATGTGTGCGCGCGCGCGCGCGTGTGTGTGTGTGTGTGTGTGTGCATGTGTGTGTGTGTGTGCGCGCGCACACATGCACACCCGTACGCGTGTGTGTGTGTGTATATGCTTGCACATGCGTGTGTTATGATGTGAGTGTATATCTGTGTGGATGTGTGTATGTTATGGTGTATGTGTGTGTTTGATGGTGTGTACTCTGCAGACGGATCCAGAGCACACTTATTCACACCTTGCCTGCAGAGCTGCTCTACAGCAACACGGAGCTGCAAACGATGTAAGCTAAAATAGTATTCTTATTACAGCGGCTCGTGTTCTGGATGCGCTGTTTAGCGTGTCCAAGATTGTGTTCACGGATACTGTAGTGTCTTGTATAAAAGCCTGTTTTGAATACAATCCTGATTTTTAAGATACCCTGTCAGCGCATACGCCTGGTTTAGTGTTGACATACATGTACATAGAGATACGTGGTTTGAATAGAAACCTAGCACTGACATTGGATTATACGGCCGTAAGCACCTGCTTTTATACGCGACATTACGGTATGTGTATCTCGTCCTGCTTTCCATTGCATGTTAGGTATATTGCGGACAACCCCATCAGCCAGCCAATCGTCGCCACTCTGTTCAGCTACACCAAGAAGCTATCAAACTTGTAAGTGAAGGCAAGGTTTAGAGAATGTAAAACTTCCTTTTAAACTTTCAACATGTTGTGCAAGAGCCTGAAGTGTGTTCTTCTTCTTGGTGTTTTGCATTCTTGTCTCCGAGGAAACTGCTCCCTTTCAGAGACTGTGGTATTCTTATGCATTGCCTGGTTGCCACCCTTACTTCCCCCCTTCCCTCCTCTCTCTCACCTCCTCTTGTCTTCTTGTGCATTGCCTGGTTGCCACCCTTACTTGCCCCTTCCCTCCTCTCTCACCACTCCTCTTGTCTTCTTGTCTCCCTTAGAGACTGTGGTATTCTTATGCATTGCCTGGTTGCCACCCTTACCTCCCCCTTCCCTCCTCTCTCTCACCTCCTCCCCTCCCCATCCTTTGCGTGTGTTTTCCCTTCTCGCTTTATCAGTACACACGGAGAACAACCCTTTCTTGCATTTTGATTGCTTGTTGTGGTATGCGCGACAGCTCCCTGATTGGGTCGCGCCTTAACAGCATCCCGACCGGTTTGTTTGACGGCGCACAGAACCTCCGATATGTGTAAGTTCAGCGTGTCTGCCTGCTACGCACTGCTAATACAGTGACACCTGTCTAAGACGACCACCGCTCAAGGGACCTTCAAAAATGTGGTCCCTGTTACCAGGTGGTCTCCTTATCCAGGTCAATTGACTGGAAGTAGCATCCCTTGGTCCTGGATGTAGTGGTCCTCTAGGACAGATGGTCGCCTTATCCGAGTGGTCGCCTGGACAGGTTTTACCGCACGAGTCTTCACTGTGTCTACGGTGCAAGTTCTGTGAAATTAATGACATCATCGCATATCTTGATGACATCATGGCAAATATCATTTGTAAAATTGTGATGACATTAATTGAAATGGGAATGGGATAAAATTTTCTAATTAGAGAGTTTACGCTTCAAGTTTTTTCAATTTCGAACGTGAGAAAAAACGTGCGTTGAATTTGACCGTGTTGGAGTTGTGTGGAGAGTTTACGCTGCGCGTGCTGAAATGACGTGAGTTTTCGGAAGTGAAGAGCGCGCTGGCAACAGAATTAAATATTGTTGCTCACAAATTCAAAGGAAGTGGGAAACGTCCTCTGCAAATACATACATACATGCATGTACGTGTGTGTGTGTGTGTGTGTGTGTGTGTGTGTGTGTGTGTGTGTTCGTGTGCGTGCACGGGTGTGTGTTCGTGTGCGTGCACGGGTGTGCGTGCGTGCATTTGTTCTTGCTTGCATGACAGCACACTATTGAATAACGCTCTTGGCATGGAGCTACCCGAAGGCTTCTTGTCATCGCAACCCAACGTGTCGAGAGTGGTTCTGTAAGTCAAGATTGCATTCGTACATAGTGCACTTTATGCTAAGCTCCATTCAACTTGAAGTAGAGCTGCACCCCCCCCCCCCCCCTCTTGAAAACTCCCACCTCGTGACTATGCCATTGTATTATGTCGACTTTATCACACGTAATAAGTGTACACCTAAATCGTACACCGTAGGAATGCATGGTAGCAAGAGTAGATAAACAAGAGTGTGCAACTCGCGGATGGGTAGACCCACGGCGGAATGTTTTGTTGACGTAATCTTTTCGACGACGCACACGCTGCGAGTCTTTCGGAAAGTTTTGTTGTGTAACGCACGCACAACAATTATTCACCACTACTACTCCGCACATGCACACAGCACTCACAACGGCGGACTCCGACAGTAGTGTAAATAAAAGGACTGATACTTGGAATTGAATTAATTAGGTAAGGATATAGAAAACAACAACTCAATCTTGGGAGAGCTAATCAACAAGGAGAATAAAACCGGAACTCCACGGAACCGGCGGGGGCGGGGCAAGGCGACGTGGAGAAGCCCGGCTGACGTGTGCGAGTACGCACGCGGCGCGGTCAATGGGGCTTCGGCCAGCAAGCGTGGGGACGCTAACCTTTGCAGCAAGCGCAGCATGCAAATAAGGCAGAAGGCAAAAGCAATGCGCATGCTCGCAATAATGACGCGTAGCTGATAGGGCATGACGTCAACACAACTCGTGAAAATGCCTACGCAAAAATGTGTTCGAAAAGTAACCGTGAGCTACGATGCAGGAAACAACCTCTGCGATCTGGCAGACGATGAAACAATTTGAAACTAGACAAATTGACAGTCAGTGTGAGTCAGAGAGGAAAGGAAACATGATAATAGCAAGAGAAGAAAGGAACAGAGCAGGCGCGGAGAATGCAGAATATGGATAACAGAACAGAACGGTAAGCAAAGTCTCAAAACGAAGAACACGACGTACAAATTCAAAATCTATAACTTGAAGCAATAAATAAACGTGCAGTATGGTATCAAATACTTGTGGAGAGAGAGAGGCGAACTATTCTACTTCACCTCTCCCCCTGATACCATAGTCATACTCACTCACGGTAACGTGCTGGCGCCTGGAGCTGGCCACGAGGTCGTAGCGCATATCCGCCAGTTGGAGCAACATCAATGGTGACACCAATACCATTGTCATCTTCCTCGTCACTATTCAGGCTAGCCTCTGTGGCAGCTACATCGGCAGCATCGGGAAGATCCTTCTTCAACAAGGCAATGTTGATAACCTTCTCGGACACTCGGCGGTTGTCCGAACCTGGCTTTTCAATCACCACAGTCATTGGACTTACGATTGCTTTCACTTTCCAGCCACGCTCATAGGGTGCAAGGCGCTTCTGATGGCGATCTGGGCGCTGCAACATCACGTGATCACCAACAGCATAGGGACAGTGTGACTCTTCTTCTTCGACGAAGTCGCTCGCCGAGAGCTCAGCATCGATCAGATCACGAATCCGAGCAGACCGCTTTGCATGTTTCGTGGCCCAGTCACTGAGGCTACACGCTTCGGCGGTGTCGGCAATAATGAAGTGAGGGGGTTTCCAGCCCACTATGGCTTCCATCGGCGACAGGCGAGTGGCACTGTGAGGTCGATTGCGATAGAAAAACAGGAGCATATCCAATTCACCCCTCCAGTCCGAAGAGCCATCGAGGACTTTCCGGATGAGGCCGAGCAGAGTACGATTGGCACGCTCAGCAGAGCCCTGCGATTGAGGGTGACGAACAGCACCGGTACGCACATGGACACCCATGAGACTGAACAACGACTCCACAATGGCATTACGAAATTCCGTGCCGTTATCCATGCGGACAATGTCGGGGGCACCCCAGAGCTTGCATACACCAGCGAAAGCAGCGGCAACAGACACGGCATCATGACGACGCAGAGGGATGACTTCAACCCACTTCGTAAATGAGTCGACACAAACCAAGACACAATGATGAGTCGCACTCTTGTCGAGACCAAGTTCAAGAGTGTCGATAGTGACCTCGCCCCACAGACGACCGGGGATATCGGGTCGAGAGGCAGCAGCAGCAGGTCCCCGCAGAGGACTGGCAGCACGGCAATCAGCGCAATTGGCAACAAACTCCTCGCATGCACTACCCATGCCAGGGAAGAAGCAGCGACAGCGCAGCAAGCTATACATCGTGGACCACGAACCATGGCCAGAATTGACATGAGCGGCAGACAGCACAGGAGAGATAACCGAGACTGGAATGACAGGCACTAGCACAAGGCCGTCAACAGGCAACTTCACACTGCGAAACAGAACACCATCACAGACCACTAACTGGGGTCTCACCTTGCTGTACTCACGAGCAACAGGCAGATCCTGCTCGAGTTGAGTGATCACAGTCTGAATCAGTTGGTCAGTACTCTGAGCAGAAGTAATGTCAGTCAACAGCACAGGACCAACAATGGTGGCAACCGGAGTTGTCACGGCAGCACTAACACTGGCAGGTGCATCAGCAGTAGCGGTCAACTTCTTACTCAGCTGGATCCACGTAGCAGGGACTCGAGTCAGGACGTCAGCAGGGTTGGCGGCAGATGCTACCCACTCGATGGTGACACGGAGCTGTGCGCTGACAATCAGGTCAGCAATGATCTGCAGGCGGCGTTGAACCAGGACATCATACAGGCCGCTTGTCTTCACACGGCGCACATTGTTGACGACATCACGGAGCCAGGCAGCTGATGTTTTCGAGTCGGTGACCAGACGGACAGAAGAGAATTTCCAGGCCACGGCGAGAGAAAGGCCCTTGATTGCAGCCTCCAGCTCAACGACATTGATATGTCGCTTGTCGTCTTTCGGACGTAGCCACGAGCGATCTTCCATCACTTGGCCATCAACGGACACGACTACACCCAGGCCAACATCAGATGCATCGACATACACAGCACAGTCAGAACCACCGTCAGGGCTCGTCCACCACCGACCACGTGCAGGGTCACCATGCTGTTGCAGCTTGGTTTCAACCTCCGTGCAGAGCCGCAACACATTATCGGGGACCGGGTCGTCCCAGGCGGTGCTCGCACCAATCAGGCGCTTGATGAAGCTGCAAGCGGGACGGAGCCAGTTACAGATAGGAACATGGCCCGTCAAACGACCACACCAGCTAAATAACGAGCGCTTGGTAGCAGGCCGAGGCAGCTGTAGATCGACACCAGCGCGGCGCGACCAGTTAACGATGCCATTGTCGTCCTGAGCGAGCTGCAGACCAAGAACACGAGCAGTGATGAGTGGCTCGGCAGGTTTCGTCGGGAGACCAAATTCGGCTAAACGAGTAGCGAGTGCATCACGGCATGCAATGGGCGTGCGGATATCGTCGATGTAACTATCGACGCCTGCAAAGTCGCGCGTGACCCATTGGACAATCATCGTCAGCAACTTCGGGGCGACATTGAGGCCAAAGCCCATCCGAGTCATAGTGTAGACACGGCCGTTCCACATCACTGTCTGGAACTTCAGCAAGTCCGGAGCGACACGAACTTGTAGATACGCCTTGCGGATATCAAGCAAACAGTACTCTTCAGGGCGGCCATCACTTCGCCAGCGTCGGAGGGCCTCCTCACACACAGGAGCATCGCGACCAGGCTGCGAAGTAAGACGGCGGTTCAGGAGACGATAGTCCAGACACGGTCTGACCGGTGTGGTGCCCTTGTGCTCCTGTACTTGAGCCAGCAAGGGTAGAACAGCCACAGGGTCACCATGAAGTTCCCGATCATGGGGAACGAGGAAATCACTATCCAGCCACTTCTGAACCTCGGCCTGGAAAAGACCCTCTTGGTCTGGTGTCAGCTTGGAGCGAGAATACTCGCCGATGCCATGGCCGACAGGCTCGCTGGGTGCAACATCATCTTTCCAGGACCATTTCACCTCCCAGTACTGCTTGTCTGCGCGCCATCTGGCCTCACCATCATCCGTATGCAATACAGTGTCGTCACCATCAGAACTTACGGACACATACGGAGAAGGATGCACCATCGGAGGAGTACCTGGAACAGCTGCAGTCACGGCCTGACCGAAACGGACACCACACAATAAGTTGTCATCGTCATACTGTAGGCTGAGACCACCAGCTGCAGCAATGAGGTCTGTCCCGATTAGCACGGAGGCATCCACAGCATCCAAACTCTTGACGACAGTGGTTGTAACCTCGATTGGTGAGAGATGGACTGGGCCGTCAGTACGTTTCAGCGTCAGGCGAACAGTCCCAACGACAGGCAATGGTTGGCCATCCAAGGCAACGAGCACATTCGACGTGCGATCGACCGGGCAGTTGGCGGGCAGTACTGAGGTGCAGCTAGCAGAGATCAGTGTATGGGTTGACCCACTGTCAATAACAGCGGTGACACGTTCCCAGTTACACTTGACACCACAACGACGTACGTCCGCATGCATTCTCGGGAGGGTGCCAGGACCAGAGGCACTTGAAATGCACAGGACTGGGGCTTTCTTGTCAGCTTTTGACACCCCGGCAGCAGATTTGCCAGCGGAAGCCGCCATCCAAGCTTTGCGCTCCGGGCACGTAGACTTGACATGGCCAGGCTTGTCGCAGAAGAAGCATGTTCGTTCTCCACCGCCATGCCGATCATGGTGCCTCTTTCGGCGAGGACAGTTCCGCTGAATATGTCCAGGCTCGTGGCACTGGTGGCAAAATACGCTGCGGGACGCACCTCCATTACCTCCAGGTGCAGCACTGGCGACCACCATCGGACTGCGTGTACAATCAGCATGCGTAGCTTGTAGAGCACGTACCTGCTCCACGCACTCGGACACTTTCAATTTTTTCCCAGCAGTGGCCATGCGCAGGGGCTGGATAAATTCTACGGGTAACCCACTGATGAACTGTTCTATCACGACAGTATCCTCATCATCAGTCGCGCTGTGACCAGACAGGCCCAGCAACCGCTGCAGATCGGCGACGTACGCGTCCACCGACTCATCGGGTTTCAGCTTAC